GACTCAAGAAAAGGACGTCTCATGTCAGTTAAAACGTGCTTCCTCAGTTCCTCTCTCCTTGCATCTTTTCCTTGAATCTTAAGTAGGTGGATGCAATTGGGGGATAACAGGCAACTGAGATACACTAGACTCTAGACCCCCCACCCAAGTCCTATTAAAAACTAGTAATTCCTGTTTATACATTTATATCATTAGCATCTTACACAAAATCTGTTTCAGGTGAATATCACCCACACTGATTCACTCCGAGCATCATTTCAATCACCTGCAGTAGCTGGAGACCTGTTCCACAAAGACGCAAAACGCATGCAAATGAACATGCACATGAAATCTTCATCAGATCCTAAAGCCACTGCTCTTCATCCTAATTATTTCTTTGAAAACTTGTCTCAGTCACTTACTATTATACATATATATATTAGTCCAATTTTGGTTAGAATAAAAAGAAAGGTTCAGCACAACATCTGTGTTTCCAGTTAATAGCACAAAGTCAATCACAGAGATGTGTGATCATGAGAAACAGGTGAGGAGGGTGTATTTTGTAAAATGGCAAAATTCACCAACAACAACAGCAGGAGGAAAATATGACAGCTGCCTACTGCAGTCTGATGTCTGTCTCAGTATTTTTCACACACATGGGCACCCACACGAGAGTGTGGCTGCATTTGGATCCGAGTACAGAGCTTATTTCCCCAGCATATGACCATTTATGAAAAAAAGAGAAAAGTAGGGAAGAAAGGAGGAGGAAGTGCTGAAGAAGCCCGATTTAAGTTTCAGAGGAGAAAGAATCTGTCTTAATCAACTGAAGGAGACACAAAACACTACCTTTTCCACACACACACACACACACACACACACACACAGCTTTCTGTCACCAGGTTACATGGATCCTATCAGACACCAGAATATTATCCAGTTATTGTATGAGACACAGCCAAGGCCTAACACACTCACACAATGATATCATCAGTAACAGCTGATTTACATATCTGCTGTGGAGCGATTTCTGCTCAAAGTATATGATTGATCCATTATCATGTCTAATCAAAAATAAGAGCTTGTTGTTTTAACTCTGAATTTAGCTGGAGGTGTGATTTTCACAACTCCCACAAATCATCACGTGGCACTGCTGATGATGTTTTGAATAATGACACACAATTTCACAGTAATTTAATTGGGCTACAAAGACCTGTACATTACATTTGCCAGGATGTTTAGAGTGCTGAATAGAAACTGTAATCATTATGTATTATCATCAAACAAGGTTTATTGCCAACATACCAGGAAGGATACTGTACCACCAACAAGGGATTCAGCCTAAAAATATGAACTTACCCAAGGTTGCTATTAACCCCTATATCCCAGAACAACAGAGGATGTGGCATCACTGTCCTCAGTAACAGTAGATTTGAAATGGTTGCATTTATCGGCATCCAATTTCAATTAGGGGTAACTGTCGACTGTATGTGTGCTTAGCTGACTCGACATCTCTTTTAATGACTTTTGATCATTTGATTATTTGTTCCTGTTGGATCATTACACCTGAATTACTAAAGAGATTAGTGGAAAATGAAAACTCCTCATACACTTCTCCAGTTCGGTTTCCATCTCTACTCGACTTCACTGCCTGCTCTCTGGTCAACTTGCTTTGAAATGTGTGAAGTCAGATTTACCCTTGATTTAGCTATTGCCTCCTCTTGGCTTGCATCTTCAACATTTGACCTGAAATCTTTTGAAGCACATTAGTATTTTTTATGTCAAACATTTAAAAAGAGGTACAAGAGAAAACACTAGTACTAATAAAATACTAGCATAAGAGGGACAAAAAAAAGGTTTTCTGCCTCATGAAGCACATTTAAAGACCTGCAACAGAGTTATATATAGACAGAAACTGACACACTATTAGCTAATTAGCCTGTCAACATTGAAGCTCTGATGATGGAAGTGAGATGTTTGTGCATCCTTGTGACTGTGCTCAAGGAGGATACACCTGGAGACACAATCAAATGCTGAAATTTTTATCCGCAGCTTTTAAAAGTAGGTGCTTAAAGGTAAAGTCGGTGGAGGACAAGAAAAAACGAGGGGATTTTATTTGTTCTTGAGGGGGAAAAAGCAGGAAGCAAGCCATTTTGGACAGGCAGGATGCAGACCGGCTAAAGGTAAATGAAAGTAGATTTAGGGAATCAACTCATAGTTCCTGAGGAGATAGTCAGCGCTAACTTCAGACCAGACCTTGTGCTGTGGTCAGAAGCACACAGCACTGTATTATGTTGAGCCTATAGCTCCCGGGGAGGACGCTGTAGATGCAGCTTATGGTGTTGCTTACTGTGAGGCTCTGAAGATTTATGACGACATGGCCTGACACCCCCTCTCTGGGGCCAAATAATAATTAAACCTCACTTAACTTGTAGAGCTTCCATATGAATGCTCTTCCATTCTTTGGCACATTTGTGTATTATTGACCTAGAGTATTGCAGCTCACTACTGACATCCATATGTTCAGGTTTATGAATCTTGTATATGAGACAGAGAAAGGAAAGGTTTCAGCTGGATAATCACAAGCCTAGCTCTGGGCACATCCAAAGCTAAATGCTGAGCTGGTTAATGCAGGCATACAGCAGTGTGTACAGGAGGATTGTGTGTAAATGAACGAGTGGTGTAAGCAAGGGTTCAATTCAGCTGTCCTCCTTTGCCCCACCTAACAAGACAAAAACTGTCAATTTCAAATGTGTTCTTCAGGCTGTCAGTTCTGCCTCCATGCCACTGACAAGTCGCAGTTCACATGTATACTGTACCTGTGTGTAGCTCCCTTCGTGTGCTCTCTTCTATGTTAGTGGCAAACTACAATGCCTCAAATTTGATCAAATATTTACAGTGAAGACCTTTTCCTTTGTGTAATGGTTAGAGACACAGAGATTCATTCTTTCATTTTGGATGTTCTGACCTTTTTATAGCCTAAAGTTGAATCTCATGAAATACTGCACTGATCCTGGTACACATAATGTACCACAGCCCAACATATCTTATTCCTCTGCACCGAGTAAGACGTTCTGTCATTACAATGTACACACTGTAGTTTACTACGAGTCAATCCCCCCGCCCCCAAAGCGTCAAACCCCCCGCCCCCAAAAAC